TGGATTGGCCGTGCTAAATTGTCCCATAGTGCCCAGGGATGTGCAGGTTAGGGTGGATTGGCCGTGCGAGATGCAGGGTTACAAGGATAGGGTAAGGGGCAGGTCTGGATGGAATGCTCTTCAGAGGGTTCGTGCTGACTCGATGCTACCACACTGTCGGGGATTTATGATAACTAGGGAGGGAAAGAGGGTTTTGAAATAAATAATGAGAGCAAGGGATCAAATTAGAGAACACTTTGTATATCTAGGCTGAATGAAGTAAAAGGTATTAACATGGGAAATGATAGACAGACTATGACAGGAAGAGATAGAGAATACAAATGCAAGAATAAATCAATAGTTAAGGCTAAAGATGACAAAAATGATGTAGTTATAAAAGGCTTCATATCTGAACATACATCGCATTTGGAACAAATGAATTGACATCACAAATAAATTAAATGGTCGGAGACTGTTCAAGGTCAGAGGGGATGGGGTTTGTGGTTTTTTGACAAACAATGGGGTTATACACTCTCCCAACATGCAGTTACCATTCAAGGGTAACCTTACCTTAATCTGCCGTTTCTCCTCAGCTTTCAGTGGATCCCACTCCTCACCTCTCCGGTAGGCCTCCAGCTCCTCATCTGATGGAGCAAACTCCTGACAGGACAAACACCGCTAATTAAACTGTAACAATTCAAAATAAACAACATCTACAAGGCACAAGTCAGGAGGGTGATGGAATACTCCCCACTTGCCCTGGATGGGGGAAGCTCCAACAACACTCAAAAAGCTCGACACCATCCAGGACAAAGCAGCCCCCCGCTTGATTGGGACCACATCCACAAACATCCCACTCCCCCCACCACCGACGCTCAGTCGCAGCAGTGTGTAGCATCTACAAGATGCGCTGCAGAAACTCACCAAAGGTCCTCACACAGCACCTTCCAAATCCACGACCACTTCCATCCAGAAGGACAAGGGACAGCAGGTACATGGGAACACCACCCCCTCCGAGCCACTCACCATCCTGACTTGGAAATGTATCGCCGTTCCTTCAGTGTCACTGGGTCAAAATCCTGGAATTCCCTCGCTAAGGAACATTGTGGGTCAACACACAGAACATGGACTGCAGCGGTTCAAGAAGGCAGCTCACCCCCACCTTCTCAAGGGGCAACTAGGGACAGGGCAATAAATGCTGGCCCAGCCAAAGTTTATTGAATTTTTAGAAAATCCCACGTGAAAGCAAGAACTGCCCCTCTCACCGAGATTACCCCAGGAAGGTACAGGATCCATGGGCACCGACACCATCACTGAATTATTGGGATCCCTCACCCAGGTCTCATTCCCCCCATAGCTGCCTGGATCTTCATTCTTTGCTCTTACCTTTTTAAAGATCATTACGTATCGACTCTCATCGTCATCTCCAAATGAGAAGGAGGTCAGCCCAGCCACTTCAACCACATCGTGCCTACACACAGGGAACAGCTGGTCAACAAAGGCAGAGGGGAGAGGATCTAAGCTCCAAACTAATCTTAATTCCAGGAGCAAAAAAAAAACCCAGCAACAACCCGCATCGATACAGCAACTGAACGGTTATAAAATATTCCAAGGCAAATGGAAACAGCCTTCATTTAACTCCAAGTTACATGAGCAGTTATTAGGGACAGGAGACCAGAAGGTTGGTCAGATGGAGTTTTTCACAGTGTCCTGAAGGAGGAAGGAGGAAGGAGGAACGAGGGAGACAGCGAGAGACGAGCAATGCAGGGGGACAGCGAGGGTGAGGAGCATGGGGAGAGTGAGCGACAGAGCTCAGAGTCCAGCAGCTCAAGGCACAGCCACAACAGAGCAGTGATGCGACTCAGAGCGTATCTGTATTGCATGAGGAAGTGCAGTGATCTCCACACGGGGCAAAGTGCATACACTTACAAAATACTCCTCTCCAGCTTGTTCATCGGATCAAACTTCTTCTTCTTCTGTGTACTGCTCTGGATGAAATCTGAAATCAACTTCTCCATCTGGAAAACCGAAAACAAAACAAAAACTTCCATCAAAGACTACAGCAAGCTTTACTCTGTATTTAACCCCATTCTATACCTGCCCTGGGAATGTTTCGTGGGGACAGTGTGGAGGATGCTTTACTCTGTTTCTAACCCCATGCTGTCCTTGTCGTGGATTTAATAGGGACCATGTCAAGGTTGTTTACTTGCAGTTTAAAAGAGTAGATGGAGCTTTAATCTATTTAACCTCATCCCATCCCTCTCCAGGGACTTTGTGATGGAGATAGTGTTGAGAGAGTTTTAATTTCAGTTTGAGAGAGTAGAGGGAACTGTACTTGTACCTAACCCTTATGCTGTACCTGTCCTGAGACAGTGTTCAATGGGAACAATGCATAACGGGGGACAGTGTTAAAGATGCCCCACAGTCCTATAACTGTCTTACCCGCTTCCTGAATTCTGCTTTCTGTCTCTTGTCTTCCTCTTCCATCTTTTTCAGTCTGGCCGCTTGCTCTGAGAAAGAAGCAAAGTCAGAGTCAACTGCAAACCATGGTTTGTCTGCAGAGATGAAACCCGAGGACTGGGATGGGAGCCAACATGGGGCTAGATGTACTGGTTACCATCCCAGGCTGTGCACTCACTGCGTCAGATATAACCACAGGCTCTAATGCAGCAAAGGCTCACAACACTTGCAGATATTTCAATGAAGACTTGGTATATCTTTTATTGTTTCACAGGATCTGCGCATTGTTGTGGCAGCATTTAATACCCATCCCTAAATGCCCCTTGAGATAAATTTCACTATTTCAGAGGGCAGTGAAGACTCTGTGCTGCTGTGGGTCTGGAGTCCTATGTAGGTCAGACTAGGTAAGCACAGGATATTTTCTTACCTAAAGGACACTAATTAACCAGATGGGTTTTTACATGGTCATTATTCCTAAGAGTAGACTTTTATTTCCAGCCTTTTCTTACAAAGAGTCACAGTACGATTCCAATCCTTGCACCCCTGGTACATTACTCTGGATTATTAACACAGTAACTGTACAGCACTGTTTCACCATCTTACATATACCAAACATCCCAAAGACTCTCGTGTTGACAACCGTCAGAGATTTAATGGCAAACCATACAAAGTTATTCAGGACCTATATCCCTGCTCCATCCCTCTTCCCCCACCATTCACATGTCCTCATATTTGTCTCTCCACCCCCACAGCCCCCTTCTCC